AGTCCACGCGCTAGTGATTGAGCCAGCCAGGTGCCCCTCTGCCATTTTTGTTTTTGAAAAGTACTTTTTCAGAAACGTTTATAACTTGTTACGTGTTAGAGCTGAGAGAGCGTTGACCTTTGTGGTGGGGAGTGAGGGCATGGGCAGGGTCGCCGGCGCAGGGGCCGAGGGAGGCAGTGGCCGTGAGGTGGGTTGTAGAACTATTGGGTGGGGGCGGCGGGGGGGTCTGGTGGCACCAGGCACAGACTGGGTGTGAGGACCAGCCAAGGAGGTAGACATGGGCCTCGGAGTAGTGGGGAGTCGGGCCACGTGTCCATCTGTCCGAGAGCCGAGAGGTTAGAGGGTCACGGCCTCTTCACCAAGGCTCTGCCGCTGCGTCACGAAGGCCTGAGCACGCGGAGGGTAGGAGTCCCTAGAAACAGCTGGCCTTGCCAATAACGGCCGTGCGGTTTAGTGTTGGAGCCGGGTCGTGTCGAAACAGCACCTTCACCCAGACTCCCCTGCCTGCCGGTTACCCATCTTCGAGGTTAGCTATGATCCCCAGCACACGCAGCACCCTCGTGCCCTCGAGCACCCTCCGCATGTCCTCCTGGATCTGTGTGTGGTTTCAGTGGGCGCCCCAGGGTCTGGGGAGGCTGGGACCTGGAAGTCAGGGTGTGAACCAGAGCAGCTGACCAGTGCCTCCAGTCTCCCAGGTGGCCTCAGGCCTCGGGAGAGGCACAGACTAGATTCTGTCCTGTAGCAGCTGTCTCGGAGCTCTGTCAGAAAAGGGAAGGTTAATGAGGCGGCAGGACCATGTCTGAGGGGCCTTTCTGCTTTTGGTTCTGTAATTCTCCGGTTAATTTCTATCTTCTAAAAAGCAAAATACAAATAGCACATGCTTATTGTGGAAGAACTGTACGCGCGTAAGGGTATAAAGCTGGTGGTGTCTCCCTTTCACCCCCAACTGGAGTGAGTGTGGTGTAGACGCTTTCACACGCCTTCAGGGAGTGTGTGCGTGTGCACACGTTTCTCTCTCTCTGCAGAGGAATCACACTATCATGCCGTCTACTAACTCGCCTGTTTTTGACTTACCGTGTCACAGACATCCTTCCACGTGAAACCACACATGTCTGTCATCCCAGTGGCCACCTGTTGTGTTGTTTGGTTGCAGTAGTTTTCATAACTGAACCCTTCCGGCAACCTGGTTTTACTACCGTAAGCAGTGGACGTCTGCACGTGGAACAGTGAACTCACTGCAGTCCTGCGTAGTTTCATGTCCTGAATCTTAGAAGTAGAGTTCCTGTGTCCTGAGGAATGGCTTTCTGACGTCCTGCCGATTGCTGGTTTCCGCCTGGGACGGGTTTTGCTGTCTCCTGCCTCCCCGGGAGTGTGTGTGAGACCGTGCTGCTCCCGGCCCTGCCGGCCAGGCAGTCGCGTGGGTGTCAGGAGGCAGGCGGGCTCGGGCCCCGTAAGTGGGACCTTTGCTGGTTGTGCAGGGAGGCTGCTCACGTAATGAGCCTCAACAGCTTCTTGCAGGAGCCAAAGTGAACGAATTAACCAAGCACCGCCAGACTGCCCTGCATCTCGCCGCCCAGCAGGACCTGCCCACCATCTGCTCCGTCCTCCTGGAGAATGCGGTGGACTTTGCTGCTCTGGACGAGAATGGAAATAACGGTAGCTGCCAGGCATTCCCCTGTGCCCCGTGCCGAGTGCCCTGAGCAGGCCCCCCAGTCCGGAGGTCGAGGTGCCCTGCACCCTTGGGCCTGCTTCCCTCAGGGAGGCTGGCTCTCACAGCAGCAGAGCTGTGGCAGGGAATGCTCTGGGCGGGGCATCTGTCCTGCCACCGACCATCCCCGGGCAGCCTCCCATCTTCGTGGTACCCCTAGAAGCCTACAGTGGTTTCCCGTAAAACCAGGAAGTCTCACCTTGGGGTAACCGTGGAAAAAGGAAGCAAAGTGTTATGAGGTTGCGTTAACGACTGAGTCTTGGGGGGTGGTGAAGACCGGACGGGATGGCTCTGTGAGTGGACAGTGGCTGCTCTGGCTGTGTCCTGTTTAGAGGGAGGTCCGTGAGCAGTTGAGATTTCCCACGTGGGCTTCTGGGCTTGCACAGTAAGAGGGTTTACTCTCCAGCTCTTCATCTCGCGGTCATGCACGGTCGGCTCAACAACATCCGGGTCCTCCTGACCGAGTGCACCGTGGACGCCGAAGCCTTCAATCTACGGTGAGCGCCTGTGTTCCGGAGCAGAGGCCTGGGCTCCGCGTCACCTAGCGTGACCCTTAGGGCTGGAGGTCACCGCGCCTCGCAACAGCCCCGGGTGCATGCGATACAGCTAACTGGCCACTAGGGCACTGGACCAGCTTCGGTACCTTGGACATTTTCATTTTGGAAAATGCTCTGTAGGAAACCTTTTATGACCTGTTACATGTCCTTGACTGTGTCCGGCATCACAGGTTCAGAGATCACGTCTTTTGTGCGTGGTGACCATGGCGGGTCTGTACCTAACTTGTCCACCTTGCTTCCTCAGAGGCCAGTCGCCGCTGCACATCCTGGGTCAGTACGGCAAAGAGAACGCAGCCACCATCTTTGAGCTCTTCCTGGAGTGCATGCCTCAGTACCCTCTGGACAAGCCAGACGCGGAAGGAAACACGGGTGTGTGATACGGTGCTCGCGTGTCCTGGAGACACAAGAGCTGGGCACACGGCCACGATTGAAGGGCACTCCGTGGGTGCATGTGGCAGGTTCTGTGAGCAGCTGTCACCGCTGCCTGGGGTGGAGTCTGGCAGTGTCTGATTCGGGGCACGCGTGTGTCTAAGTGTCCCTGGTGCTGCAGAGCCGTGCCCAGGTCCAAGCAGGCCTGCCCGTCTCTTCTTTTTTATTTTTTTATTTTTTTTTAATTTTTTTTTTTATTTTTGGGACAGAGAGAGACAGAGCATGAACGGGGGAGGGGCAGAGAGAGAGGGAGACACAGAATCACAAACAGGCTCCAGGCTCTGAGCCATCAGCCCAGAGCCCGACGCGGGGCTCGAACTCACGGACCGCGAGATCGTGACCTGGCTGAAGTCGGACGCTTAACCGCCTGCGCCACCCAGGCGCCCCCTGCCCGTCTCTTCTGACAGCCCTCCTCTCTCTGCTGTGCACCCTGCAGATGCTCCAGAAGGGGGAAGTGTGTTGTGCGTGTGTTGACGGGCTGTGAAAAAGTGGCAGGTGACAAACAGACGAGGCCCCTGTCCTGGTGCTTGCTACTCTAGCTACCCGGTCGCTGTGCTAATTTGTATGGCTTCAAGTCATTTTGTACACGTACTTCTGCATTTGTGTTCTTGTTGGATGCGCACAGCCACCCAGAAAGTTAAGCGGTGTGGACAGTGCGTCCCGATTTTTCACGTAAGGAACCAGCGGTGAGGCCCCGTGCTGCCGCCATGTTCCCGGTCCCCCCCTCCTGCCACACAGAGCCTCCTTGGCCTGTGGCAGAAGCTTTGTCACCAAGGAACGTCCTGAACCTTAGCACAGGACTGAATATTTTATCGTTAGTTCTTGGCTTCAGTACATGAATGTGTTGTTAAGCTGGCAGTGACGAGCCTGAGCTGGAGGGAGTCGGCCCAGGAGTGAGCTGGGGGCCCAGCACACCCTCCGGCCGCTGTCCGGGAAGCGGGAGGCCGACGAGCAGGCGCGTCACGTCCGTGCTTCTGAGTTGCACAGACCTGGTTCCGATCGCCTAGCTCTGTCCAGTTCCAGCAGGCGACCCTGGGTTCGTAACCTCTCTGTGCCCCTTTGCTCATCTGAAATAATAACCCTTGTCCGCCTGGACTGTTTAGAAAGTCATGAGAAGGAGTTGAAGCGTGGGGCCCAGGAGAGGGAAGCAGAAGGGCTGCCGTGAGCGTAGCGGGCGGCAGGCGGGAGGGCCTGGCCGGAGCCGGGCGCCCACGGGGTTCCCTGGGTGGGCCTCCATTGAGTTACGTCACGCGACAGGGGCTTTGGCCGGCCAGGCTTGTGCTGGAGGAAGGCAGGTGGGACGGCGCGTTTTTCCTTCAGTGTCTGGTCCCTGCTCTGTGGCTCTGGAGCGTGTCCTGGAGCTGGGGCCGCCCTGCGCCCCCCATGGCGGTCAGTGGGGCTCTGCTGACGCACGTCCTGCCGCCTTCTGGCGGCAGCAGTCGGGGCTCAGGTGGAAGGAGCCCTCCCGTGCTTTTGTTTTCCAGTGCTGCTGTTGGCTTACATGAAGGGGAATGCCAACCTGTGCCGTGCCGTCGTCCGCTCGGGAGCTCGCCTCGGGGTCAACAACAACCAAGGGGTGAACATTTTCAACTACCAAGTTGCCACCAAGCAGCTTCTGTTTCGACTGTTAGGTGAGTGGCTACTTGCTGCTCATCCAGCACAGACACGGGCACGGTGTCGGTCGTTCACGTGCCCCGGTGACCTCTGAACCCAGAATGACCCGAGCCGGCCGCTTTCCAGGGTGCTCCAGGGCCCCTGTCAGCCCTACGTCCCGGTCCTACCGGAGGCCCATAAAGGCACCCACGCATCGGCTCGTTGGGGGGGGGGGTGGCGGTCACCCCTCCACGGCTCTGGCCGCTCATCTATCTGCACATCCTTTGTGCTTCCGCGGGTCTGGGTTCTCCGCATTCTTCCGCCACTGTTCCCTTGTGGCGAGGAGGGTGGCACCTTGGTGGCTTGCTATTTGCAAGTGCCCTCCCTTCTCCTCGAGGCGGCCGCAGAGCGGGCTTCTCAGCCCCGTGGTCTGGGCAGAGGAGCGAGCTCTGCGATGTTGGCATGGGTGACATGCCCGGTGTCGCTTGGCAGACGGTCTGTAGCCCAGTCGGTGCCTGTGGGTGGCGCTTCTGTGGCGCCAGCTGGAGCCGCCCGCGGGCCAGCGTGGCGGGCGCTGGGCAGACACCGGCCACGTGCCGCCTCCTCCCTGCGAGCTCGGGTGACTTGCGTGGGTGCGGCTCTCGGAGCCGTGCGGGCAGAGCTGGCGTTCAGCGAACGGAGCCGACGGTTCCCGGCCCGAACGCGCCACGCTTCCACGAGCCCCGCCACGGCCCCTCGCG